GAGCACTGTCGTCCCGACAGTTCTGTTCTTTCACCTGATGAAGGCTGCTTGTGTTGTGGCCGAAACGTCGTGAGAATTTTATTGTCTTATTTTATTATTTTATTCTCATTCTACGTGACTTTACCGAAAGAACCAAAGAAGATGAATCCTTGCAGTCACGAAAGCTTTAAATCGAAATTTAACTCCTGTGCTCATTGTGTCCAGCAGCGTCCTAACCACCGCAAGTAGTTTGCGCTGGATAATGCGGCAGATCACGTGAACATCTTTGGCGCGAATAAAAAAAAAACCTTGGGTGAGTTTGTAAAAAATATATTGTACCAAAACTGTTTTGGACTTGATTGTAAGATTTCAGAGAGAGAGGGAGAGAGTGAGTGAAGGGTGTCTGCTGCTGCTGCGCTTTGAGCAGAGGGAAGGAGGTCCCGCTAGTGCCGGAGTCAGTGTTGGTTGATGCATCCGTGGGCATGATGGAAGGGGGTTCCCCTAGTGCCGGAGTCAGTGTTGGTTGATGCATCCGTGGGCATGATGGAAGGGGGTTCCCCTAGTGCCGAAGTCAGTTTTGGTTGATGCATTCGTGGGCATGATGGAAGGGGGTTCCCCTAGCGCCAGAGTCGGTGTTGGTTGATGCATTCGTGGGCATGATGGAAGGGGGTTCCCCTAGCGCCAGAGTCGGTGTTGGTTGATGCATTCGTGGGCATGATGGAAGGGGGTTCCCCTAGTGCCGAAGTCAGTTTTGGTTGATGCATTCGTGGGCATGATGGAAGGGGGTTCCCCTAGCGCCAGAGTCGGTGTTGGTTGATGCATTCGTGGGCATGATGGAAGGGGGTTCCCCTAGTGCCGAAGTCAGTGTTGGTTGATGCATCCGTGGGCATGATGGAAGGGGGTTCCCCTAGTGCCGAAGTCAGTGTTGGTTGATGCATCCGTGGGCATGATGGAAGGGGGTTCCCCTAGCGCCGGAGTCGGTGTTGGTTGATGCATCCGTGGGCATTTTGCAAGCGTGGGGGATTTGTCACGTGGGGCGCCTGGGTCAACCGGTTCGCAGATGGGGAAAAAATTGGACATTGTGTCATGGACAAATACAATCACGATCGTACTGTACTTGTGTTTCCAGCTGCTGGCAGAACTCATGCAAATCGAGAGGGGAGCGGAGGGTGGTGGTGGTGGGGGAAGTGCGTAATAGAAAAAAATGGCCCAATAAAAAAATAGGGGGGGGGGGAGCAAATAAAAATAAATAACAAAACACGGAGAAAGAAAAAAATGGGCGTAAGGTTAGTTAGACACGTCGACTGTTTGGAACCGAACAACGTGCCATTATGTCCTCAGAACATTTGGTTCCGTGAGCGGTAATTTAAAACTCGAGCTGACTTGTCATTGGCTTTAGTTATACATCAGGAGAGTGGGGCATGTTTCATTGTCAACCAGCTTCAAGGGACCTGTTAGTCTCAGATTTAACAGCAAAAGACGTAAATTTTTACTTTTTACTATTCAATTTTTTTCGTATTAAATGGTTTCAAACTTTTTTAGGCCCACATAAAGTCATTTCCAGAACATGTGGGCTTACTGGAAAGGAAGTTCATTGCTTTGGCTGGGATTACCCCTAAACATTGATTGTAAAGAAGATAGATAATAAAACGACATCACATCGTAACATTCCTCTTCTGCTGATTCATTTTTAATGTATTTTGCACCCATGCTTACAACACGAGTTTGTGTTACATGTAGGAATAACGGTGATGAAATATAATGTAGTAGAGATGGGTGGAGCGGTGGCACAGTAGTTGTGCACCAGGGACGTGCGGTCAGGGGAGGCAGGGGAGGCAGAGCCTCACCTGTCATACTCCAATGAAAATAGCTGTTACGAAAAGTAAAAAAAAAGAATAATGAAATTAAAGATGTTTCTACTGATCTGTGTTTATAAATGTCATTTCTGTACGATTCCAATCATTTTTATAGTCAAAATCGCCAAATTTGCGGAGCTCCGCTGCAAATACAGGAAGAGACGAGAGGTGAGGCAGAGACGGCCTAAGCCTCCCCTCTGATTGCGCAACCCCTCAGTAACTATTTCAGTCCGTCACCAATGCAATGTTTGAAGACCCTTTCATTTCATGTCCTCGCCTTCCATACGCCAGATAACTTATTTCACGTATGTATATAGAGATATTTAGGCTCGCTGGTCTCGTCATGAAACTGCAATGAAAAAGCACCAGGGGAGGCAGCTATCACATCTGCCTCACTGAGGGGGACGTGTCTAACACGCCCCCCTCAGTGAGAACACGCCCCCTCGCTGAGGCCACGCCCCCCTCTGTGAGGCCACGCCCCCCTCCGTGTGTGAATCTGGCTATGACACGAGCCAGTGCCTCCCCAGCCATTGACCTCACCGCACGTCACTGCTGCGCATGCTGGGCCGCACTACGGACCTCGTAATCCGAGTTCGATTCTCAGTTGCGGCTCGCATCAGTGGGACCTGTTCTGCCCTCCCACTGCCGTTCCTAAGCCCCACTGACCGGCTTGGTGAAGTATGGTAAACAGAAAATACTCCGGTATTCATACACTAACAGAGTTGTAATAATGTAGCATGAAAATATGAGTGGGGGGTGGGGGGGGGGGGTTCTGGTGCGGTGATTTGTGCATTGTGTCCTGGGACGTGGCAACCTGAGTTCGATTCCCAGTCAAGGCTGACATCAGTTGGCGAGTGATATCAGAACTGGTTTGCTGCAGCACTACCCAAACCATAATCACTAAAACAGTGAAGTATGCTCAAACATCCCCCCCCTCCCAATGGATGACAGGGCATGGTCATCATCCAGCAGTGGATTGACAAAATTACTGTAAAAGGTATCGTATTACTCTCAAAGTAATAGCAGCCTGAGAAAATGCCAATATTAATAAAACGTTGACAATCTGCCATGGTGGCATTTTTACTGGCGTTCTTTCCTCTGCAAACCATTGCCCTGTAAATATCAGCAAAGGTCATCTTCAAAGTGTCTCCAGTAATTACCAAAGGGGGCCCTATCGTAACCACTGAGCGATATTATCTCTAACCTCTTGTAAAGGGTTTCCCCCACTCTGTAAGAAACAAGTGTTTTGTGACATGTTATTTACTCCGTTAAATCGCTTTAATGTGACCGCCTTGAAACACAATTTTGCAGTGACCTTGCATCCCTGTGTCCTCTCACCCACCCACACTCCTCGCCGAGACATTAATTATGCCCCTCCCCCCCCCCCATCGTGTTGTAGGAAAACGACAAAACAAATATTTTCTGATGTATGTTGAACTTCTTTCGCGCCGTACGTAGCCAACCGCCCTCATCTGAGGTGCGGGGGTAAGGACAACAAACTGAACACAAAGGTAGTTCTAAAAAAAAAGAGAGTTTTCAATCTAGATTTAAAATTGTGTATAGCGTTAGTGGCTTCCTAATATTGCAAGGAAGTGCCTTCCACACGGCCGCAGAAGCGCACCTGAAAGCGCGCGATGCAGTGACCATCTTTCTTTGATGGCTAGCCAAAAGGAAAAAAAAGTTTATGCTACAGTACACGAAACTATGAATGTATTTAAACATTTTTTGGTTATCTTACCAGATAAGGCCCACTGAGGTATATATCTCTTTTTGAGAAGCGACCTGGCCACGAATGATAGCTCCAACTAAGTGGCTTGTCAAGTGGATATTTATAGCAGCCAAATACTCTTAAACGCATGATGCTAAATGTGGAGGAAAAAAAAACGGAGGCAAATCCACACAACCACAGGGAGAACATGAAAATATACAGGGGCCCTCAGGGTTGGGATTGAACCAACGACCTCCTGTATACCAGGTGAAGTAGTTAACATATTGCCGTTGCGGCGTCCTATGAAGCTACAGTAAATATGTAACGGAAGCGGTTTTAAGATAGATATTTTGTTTAAATTGCCGATGACCCAATAAACATGAATGCAGCCTATCTCTCAAAGATCTTGGACGTTATCAGGTCTTGAGTTGACACGTAAATGCTCACCACCTTCAACAGCACACATTGACCAGTACAATTCTTCACTGTGATATGAATCCCGTTAACCTACGTTCCATTCCTGGCCACAGTCGGAATCAATTGGAGGGCAAGTTATAGTATCTGTTGCTGCTTCTGGGTCTTTGCTCTCACCAACCCAGCACAGTGATGTATGGCCAAACAGCCTCCATGACATTCGTCCAGCAGCAGATTGACGAAGGGTTGAAAGCTATTATTTCTTAATCATTTGATAATTTTTTGTTGTAGACAGCTTGATAGATACATTATGCACTCAAATGAAAATAAAAGTTTACATCTAAGACACCGATAATACGATTAAAATCTTTCAAAAGTGTCTCCCTGCTTAAACTACCGAGGGATGATTTTACATCAGGAAAATATATAATCGGTGACGTTTCTGACATTTGCCACTTTTTCAGAGCACATAAACGAGAAATTATAATAGGCATGTAACGACTATTTCTTTTACTGATTCTCACACTCACAGCACATGGATGCATTGATGTGCACGCGAAATATAGTTCTCGAGAACTTGTGGAAATTGCATGTACACTCAATACGAATGTGACATCTAGGTTTATAGAGCGAAACGAGCTTAATCAACAGTCACAATATAAACGACACAACAAAAATCATCCGATTCTTGATTTGAATCATGACCACAAATTTAAACTCTTTATGCAATTACGAGGCAGTGAATTAAGCGCTGCCTCCAGTTGCCTGATCAAGTCGTGGAAATTCCACGTTTTCCTGCGTCAGAGGCCGGTCAATCCAGAGGACAACGGCCAATGACTTTGCACCGCGTGGCGCTCGCTTTATCGACCCGGGGCGGACAAGGAGCTGCGATTGCAACGATCAATTTTTCACACGATCGTTTCTTTTTTTAAAGCAGTGCTCATAGATTGCTGATCCCCCTCCCACCCCCCTCCTCCCCCACCCCGGCCTGGCTCTCATCCCCCCCCCCCCTCGTCCCCCCCCCCGTCCCCCCCGCTATGCAGGCGTCTACAAGCTGAGCTGCCGCGATAACCCGCTGGTGATTCCCGTGGGACTCGGGGTGACCGGGCGAGCGGGCAGGAGACGTCGCCGGGCCAAGGCGGTGCTGCTGCACGTGTCCTCGCGTCTCGTCGCCGTGTCCGGCGTGGCGATGCGACCCGTGTCCCAGAAGCCCTCCTCCACCTCCTCCTCTTCCACCTCCTCCTCTACCTCCTCTTCCACCTCCTCTTCCACCTCCGGGAGAGAGGACGAGGAACTCGCGCACATCTGCCCCGCCGGCGAAACGTACAGCCACAGCCTCAAGAGGTTGTCCCCCCCCCCCCCCCCCCCCACTCCGTGAACGATGAAGCTTAGTGTTGTCGTTGTTGTCCGAGAACAGTTGAGTCGATCAGCAGGTCTTGTGTGGTGGGGTAAAGTGTTGGTACTCCCTCCTCGTCACCTGGCTGCCTTCCAGCTTACCTGCGGTTCCTCGCACCTCCTAGTCATTATCTCTCTCGCTGTCCAAGAGTGAGTTAAGACTGTGCGTTAAAAGTTGTACATCATTTATTAGTGGTATTGTTATAATTACGACAAGACGTCTGGCTGGTGTACAAGGCCAGGCATGAGCCTAGCTGCAATTAATGAATGTAGGCCCCTTGTCAAATTCCCACCCCCCCCCACCGCCCTTTTTGTAGCTCCACGCCTGGGCCCCTCCATCCCCGTAGACCCTGGTGCAGCTCAACTGCCTTCACACAGTAGCAATGGTACAATTCGACTGGAAACAAATACTCAACCAAACTAAATATGGCCACGGGGAAAATTACATTCTGTTGAGGTCAATTAGCGTATAGTGGGTGGCCTATATTCAGATAGTTGTGTATTGGGTAAGGAAATTTTTTTATTAAGGACTGCATTGCTAGTAGGGCAAACAAATGAAAATGCATGCCTTACAACAGACAACTATTTGGCTGATATTCTTGGTTCTTTCAGTAAAGTCACGTAGAAGGGAAACAATAAAATAATAAAAATATAAAACAATAAAATTCTCACGTTTCGACTGCAACATAAGCAGTCATCATCAGGTGTGAAAACCACAGCCACTTTTTTCAAATTTTCTTGCTGTGGTTTTCACACCTGATGATGATTGCTTGTGTTGCAGTCGAAACGTCGTGAGAATTTTATTGTTTTATATTTTTAATATTTTATTGTTTCCCTTCTACATGATTTTACCGAAAGAACCAAGAATATGAATCCCTGCAGTCACGAAAGCTTTAAATCTAAATTTATTTGGCTGATGTTTCAGTTCATAGAGAGAGAGGCCAGATGGAGTGAATAATTATTGTTGGAGATTCCGCTATATTATAATAACTGTTCCACTTTTTACCTTGCATTACTAGGACGCATGCCTATAATACCTGGCAACTCACGAGCGTTGATTCAAGCAAGCCCGACTGCCGTTCGGACGCTGTGTCGAAGCAGGTCCAGGTTTCGCTTTGAGTGCGTCAATGCTGCTGAAATTACACACTCCCAGAAGGCCGTGGGGCTGTTGGGTTGCATAGAAAATACTTTCGTGTTGAATGCGGAGAGACAGATATAGAAGGAGATGTTTTGTCTGCACGCTTAACTATTTAGTTTGTTCCACTTCTCAACGATCATACTCACTTTAAATTAAATAATCCAATTGCCATGTTATAAGTACAACTCTCAATGCTTGTTTTTCTTTCAGATTTGTTGGGTATTTATTATCGCGAATGGGAATGCCTCTTTAAATTTGGGACTTTTCCAAAAAAGGTCACATTCCAGAGATTCGCATTTTGTCGAATGTGACAGTCGCAGTCTATGCATGTCACCGTCGTTTTAAAAGTAAAGAAGAAGGTTTTGTCATGAAATCATATTTCATTTTAATGCATAGAAGGAAAGATTATTGGAGGAATATAGTTGGAGAAGAATATAATATGGAGGGAGTTAAGTGGTGGTGCAGTGGTTAGCACAGTTCTTGGCACCCTGTGCAATGTACCCTGTGAGTCTGGGGTTGACTTCTGGTCATGACTATGAACGTTGATGGCTTCTATCAGAAGTGAGCTTGGGCCTGTTCCTTCACAAACCCAAACAGGACTAGTGTGGTGAAGTATGGTAAAAGTAACTGCCATGACCAACATGGCATGGAGAAGCCTTCGTCCAGCGGTGGATTGACAGTGGTTGTAAATAATTATTATTGTCGTTTTTTTTTCCCTGAAAGCACACACATTTTTAAAAAAGAGCTATTACATAAAACGATAGGATGTGAACACTAAGCACCGTATTACTTAGTATTACTTAAACCGTGGCTCATATGAGGCTTGGCAGAAGTCTAAAAGCATTTACTGATTGTATTCCTTCTCATTAAAATAATGTGAGGGCAAAGGTGTGGCGTAAGACTCGGATAAAATAAAAACCAAGCCGGCATATCGATTCACATTTCAATCCAAATAATTGCATTTCGTTTCCTTATCAAAAGCTCAGAAATGCCATCAGTAACACCGCGGAACCACACGGTGGCATTTCCTTGAAATTAATTTCCTCGCGAACAACAATGGCATTGAATTTACGGCCCTGATTTATGGGCAGTTGATGCTCAGCAGGGCTCGGTGCGGGTCTGGGCCAGAAGGCGTTTTGGGTGCCCAAGGGGTGGCATGTTATTTATGATGCGCCGCCCCCCCCCCCCACCCACCCCGTCTCCGAGAGAAGCCACAAGTGTCACCAGATTTATGGTGCGTTTAATCGTTGAAGAAATACGGGAGCCTTGTGTAACAGACCGAGGCGTCCCCCTCCACAGGGCCAGTGCGTGCTAACCCTTTTCGGGGAAGCTAAACGGTTTTACAATTATGTTAACAAGACACGACCGATTATCTTTATAGCCCCGGCTTGAATGGGGACACCATCCCGTTGCATGTGCGAATTAAAGACTCCGACGCTGTTAATAAGCGCGTTGACTTAATATTAGAGCCGGGCCATCCAATGATTTAAGTCGCTGATTTACTTTTGCCGATTTATCGCTATAAATGCTCGTCCAGTCGGAAAAGATGAAAATGGCGTGGTCCGTACACAGAGCGAGTGTTGTGAACAAGTTTGCGCAGTGGAATGTCGAGCAAAACAACCATCCACTCTTAGTCACTCCCCCAGAAAGACAATGTCTTGAAATTCACTCCGCATCTCCACAAGTGCTTGAGTGAATATCAAGACGTATCATCGTCCTGTGAAATGTTGCCATTGCTTCATACGACATGGTCATCACCATTGTCATCGGATAACACAAACACTGTGGGAGATTCACTGGTATGGGGGAGGGGGTCCCACCTTCAAGCGGCAGGATATGGGGGCGGCCATCGTTTGAAAAGGGGTCCGTGTAATCAACCACGAAAAAAAGCAATCGATTACAATGTTTAGTCGATTTGTACATTTTCTCGACGATTGATTGACGAATCATCCCAGTGATACTTCGTGTATTTTTTGGACCGATCACTCCTCCATTAAATGTTCCTCCCCTTCACGCGAGGAGGCCATCTGACGAACCCACGCCCTCTTTGTTTTTTGCCCGTCTCCTGAAACGAAAACCGAACGGCGCCAGGTGCACCTGTGACGAGTGCAGCACCTGCCTCCCGCTGCTGGTGGCAAACGGCACGGTGCGGTGCGAGGACTCCGGCAGCCGGTGCGAGGTGCTCTGCGGCAAGGGGCACGAAGCGAGCGTGGACGGACAACCCGTGGCGGACAGGAAGCAGGTGAGGGCCCACCGTCGCCTCGCGCAATTCAGCGTCACGTAAGCCCTTTCCGTTCCGATGACCGCCCGCCGACCTCGTGATTGACGCGTCGCGTCGCTCCGCGGAGGCAACGGGCGGTCTTCGCGACGCAGCTCAACGAGGCGTCCGTCGCTCCAGCGTGAGAGGGAGTCCGTCGCTCCAGCGTGAGAGGGAGTCCGTCGCTCCAGCGTGAGTCCGACGCTCCAGCGTGAGAGGGAGTCCGTCGCTCCAGAATGAGAGGGAGTCCGTCGCTCCAGCGTGAGTCCGTCGCTCCAGCGTGAGTCCGTCGCTCCAGCGTGACTGGGCTCCCTCTCTCTCCTGGGCTCGAACAACGAACAGGGGGGGGGCGGGACTTTGCAATGGTGCGCCGAGGCCCAAGAAGGGCGCGTGCTCACGCAACCAGATAGTCAAAATAAAAGAAAGCCAAATAATAAAGGCGCCCCTAGTAATTTGTCAGTGCGATATTTATCAAGGGGCTAATCACTCCATCTGCCCCCCTCCTGCCGCTCGATTTAAATAAACACCGTCGGCCATGGCATAGTGTAAGAATATCCTTGAACAGAATGAATAATTATCTGAAGGCATGTACAGCATTGGACAAAAGGGCCCTCACACGTGGCATGAGCTGCCAGGAAACGGAGTGTGTGTAACTTTAAAAATATGTTAGCCTTAAATATGTTCGCGCAACAATGGTAACAAAATACACGTGTTTGTTTTTTTTCCATCTCTTAAGAGTAGCAAGGCTTGACTTAAGGCTTTCGTGACTGCAGGAATTAATATTCGTTGGGTCTTTCGGTAAAGTCACGTAGATGGTTCAAAGAAAATAACAAAAAAAACTACGACGTTTCGATCACAGCACAAGCGATCGTCCTCCTTGTTATTTGCTTTGAACCATCTACGTGACTTTACCGAAAGACCCAAATAATTTAGTAGCAAGGCTGTACAATGCAGCCTCGTAGTGGACGCTAAAAACACTTACTCATACACAAAAAAATCAGAACATTGTGTTCCGCTTACATTCCCCCCCCCCTTCTTCCCCCTGACGTACTCGGAGCCCACCTCAACCTCGGCCATCCGTAACCGCGCGCTAAGTTTTGTTATTTGTTCGCTTTTTACATCATTGTTGTTGTTGTTGTTCGGGATAATGTATGGGCGCGCGTTGCTCCTCGGTGCAATTACGCATTGTCGGAGAAGGGTGCCCTGCGGCAGGAGGGATGATAAAACCCTGGTCATTGAAGCGAGAGAGGAAAAAAAAACCCCATCGCAGCCGAAACTCGAACCTGTTAATTTATCTCGATCTTGAGCGGGGAGATACAGGAGCGGCGAGGTATGCGCGCGTTTTTTGTGCGCCGACAAGGCGATTCTGCAACCGGTGGTTATTTCTACCCCAGGTAAGGAGAGAGAGAGAGAGAGCCGCGAATGAATGGCCATGGTAGTAGGGGCCGGTGGCACTTGTTATTTTACGTGCGCCTCTGGCCGAGGCAGCTGTGACATTGTGAAGCAAAAAAGCAGGCCGGCGACGATTTGCCTCTCGCAATAAGCGAAGTCAGCTCCACGACTTTCCGAGTGCGCTGTCGAAATGGGACGCGGGGGCATTGCGGGTGCGTGGTTTGTCTGTGTGCGAGTGTGGGGAGCGTTGGAGTGGTGGTAGTTGGGCGCGCTGCACTATGAATGAACCCGCGACCCGAGTTGAATTTGCCACTCACGATCAGTAACCGTGGCGAATATTTATGCCGGTCTTGGGCCTCCCCCTAGGTCAACTCAGCCTTAAATCATTAACCTGGTGCGGAGTGTAAACGTCAGCAGTGGGGAGATAAAGGCAGCCGGGCGTGGTATTTAGCCGCCCATCCCCTCGGGTGCCATACCGGCCTTCATAGGCGCTCGCTAACTACACGTGCCTCAAAAGTCTGTTGAAGACTTTATGGGGGGTCTTTGTCTGCGCGTAGGATAGTTGGAAGTGGCCTTCCAGTTCGTAGCACAGAGCACGGATGAAACAGCCACCTAAGTTTTATTCCTGAACACGGAGAATGGCAGTGGCAATTATCGGTACCGGTCCCTGGCCTCCCGCAGGTCGACACAGCCTTAAATGTGTACCTGGTACGGTGTGTCAACAGCAGCACCTGGGGATACAAAGGTGGTCGGGTACAGTCCCGGCCACCGCCACCCACCCACCCACCCTCGTGCGCCACAGCACTTGCCCCAACAGGCTGTTGTAGGCTATACGGGGTATCTTTGTCTTTGTATGAGAGTGGGGGGAGAGTTCTTTCAGCGGACAGCACACAACACAGAAAAAACAAACCCTGACCTCATTTCACTTCTTAGACCACTGATGTTATTAGTGACAAGTGGTATCAGAAACTGTCTTGTTACCACCCCTATGTTGGCTCAAACTTAAATTAATATCTGGGGAGACAAAGGCGGCTGTGCGTGGCGCTGGCCACATTGTTTTCTTGAGCGACGTGCCGGCCTTAATAGGCGCTCGCAAACAGAACTTTGCCCAGCTGTTGATTAGGGTATAAGGGGGGGGGGGATCTTTCGTCTTTGTTTTTGTGTGCGTGTAAGATAGGGTAGGTAAATATGTTTTGAGAAATGTTTAAAAACTAAACAAACCCTCTGTTTAACTGTAAGTTTACCAATTTTATAATTGAATAAGTGTGTTTACGTTCAGGGTTATTATGCAGAAAGACAGAGTAATAATGGTGATTATCTGCATACTTTTAATATCCCATTGTCAAACGTTTTCCTGGTACGTGTAAACACAGGCATTTCTGTGCACTCATAAACACGAGCCCCTACCTCTAACCACCACACACACCACCTATCAGCTGCGCCACGGCATTATTGATTACCCCGTGGACTGATTCACGCCCCCCTGCAGAGATGTGATGACTTGTAACAATTCAGGGTGCCGATTAGAATCAAGGATGGATTCTTTTCAGTTTTGTTGTGTGTGTGTGTGTTTCATTCGTATTGTCGTTTGCTCATTCTGGCTCCACTGGTACAGTTTCGTTCGCACCGTAACGCGAAATGTGCCGTGCGCTTTGACGTGAATTGCAAAATAATTGGAATATTAATCACAATTTTGTGAGAGTAAGAATCATTTTTTTTCTCCATAGATTTTATTTTGCCGTTTGCATGCCCTAACACTGATACAGCTATGCGGGTCATGCAGCGTAGGTTTTCGCGGTTGTGCGGTAACAGCGTGCCGAGGTGTTTTCTGGCCGGCTACCGCGTCAGCACGATGTCCGACGTTTCGCGCCACGTGCTTGGGAGCTTCTTCAGGAGCGTCTTAACACCGGGGCCAAATAACACGAGGTACGGAGTGGGCGTGACGGAATCGCGTAGGAGTTTTTAGGCCTTTGTTACAAACGCCGCCCCCTCCTCCAATCAGCATCAGGTGGGAGTGGCCTGCGTGGAGGGCCAATGGGATAAGCGCGTTGCCTGCCTGCCCGTCGACTGCGGTGTCCCGAGTTCGCACCTCGTGTACCACGCCGACTTCAGCTACCCCCATGGAACGAGCTACAGTGCCCGCACCACCTTCGTCTGCCGCCCACCCGCCATACTGCAAGGTGACCCGTCCAGCACTCTTACTTCTCAGCGTCATCGTCGATGTTCAGCCATGGTCAATTCCACTGCTGGATGAAGGCCTCCAACAAAATGTCGGCTCAGTTTCTTTCTTTGAAAAGTTTTATGTGCTTGGAAAATCTGGTTGAACCATAAGTGTAACTCTCAGATGGTCCGGAATATTTGATTAATCGGCACCCTCCATTCCACATGGATGCCGGATAACAAATCTTTTGCTGCATACATAACAATGCAAGTGTAAAATACAACTTTCCAATATATTGTAGCACCTATGCATTTCGCCACAGACATCCATACGTTTTTGCAGTTGTGTGGTCGTGGATTCGATCCCGACCCTGATGCCTGTTGTCTATTTGGAGTTTGCATGTCTATCTCCCGGTGATCTCATGGATTTTTCTTCGGGTCCTCCGGTTTTTCCCTCCACATTTAGAATCAATGTGTGTTTACATTATTCGTCTGCTGGAAACTTCCACGTGATGATACGCCACTTCGTTGGCTTACCATCGTGTGAAATTTTGAAAGAAAAAAAGCCAGATAGCTCGGTGGACCTTACCTGGTAAACTAAAAAAAATAGTTTAATAGTTTTGACACTATTGAAGAGGGGAGCACCAAGAACCACTGTCATTCCCCCTCTGGCTTTAATCACCGCCACCGCCGCCGCAAACACGACCGCCGACGGCCGATTGTGACGCCGAACTGCTTTGCGGTTTTTTTGTTTGTCCTTCCGCCAGGTGCGAGCGCCGAGTTGCAGTGCCAGGAGGACGGGCTGTGGTCCCTGCCGGAGGCGTACTGCCAGCTGACGTGCCGGGCACCGCCGCCCATGCCCAACGCCGTGGCGCGCACCGAACGCTGCAAACACGACGGCCAGAAGGTCGGCTCCTCCTGCAAGTACCGCTGCAAGCCCGGATACCACGTGCTGCTTACCAGTCGCAAGTAAAGCCCGCTTCCACCCTTCCCGCTACACCTTGCCCACCCACCACCACCGCAACCACGGCTATAGAACGCGAGCAGACGCGTGTGCTTGCAAACAGCGGCAAGGCGCGACTCCCACCGTGCCCTGGGTACACGTCACGTGCCCTGGGTACACGTCACGTGCCCTGGGTACACGTCACGTGCCCTGGGTACACGTCACGTGCCCTGGGTACACGTCACGCGCACGTGTCAGGCCGTTCAACGCCCGGCGTCATCGTTACAATTGTTGGCAAAGTTTAAGGATTGGCTGTTATCACCACGTACGTATATAATACACCTTTTTTTTTTTACAAACATATGATTATTTTGCAGTCATACATTTCCACATTTGTTTTCGTCACGTGACAACTTTATTTATTGGCTGTATGGTGGCGGAGGAATGGTTTCCGACAAGCATTTAGACATGCGGCGATTTGACCCAAAAATAAATTATGAATCGAAATTGTGCGCAAATGACCTCAATTAGGACTACACATGTAGCAACATCTCCCCCCACTGAGAAACTACTGTGGACTGTGTGTGTGTAATGCAGCAGCGCCTTCATTATAGCCTGTAAGAATGGAGCGAATATCACATGTTAAAAATTATTGTGATTATTATCATATGACCATGACACTGAAGTTGTGCCTTTCTGCTGTTTGTGAGCACAGTTTTGCATGTTGTTGATTCTTTGTTTCCAGCGGACATGCATTTTATTTGTTTACTTTGTGATGTACAGCACTTTGAGTACCTTGTAGAGAGGCGCTTTGTAAACGTAATTTATTGTTACCATTATTCGAATTTTGCTGTTTTTAAGGGTTTTCTCATAATGTACCGAAAGTATCTGATTTGAAGCCATGGAAATGTCTGCTGGATAAAGCGCCGGTTTAAAGTTGTAAAAAAAAAATAGTGTGTTGGTTTAAACACCTCCTCAGAGTGCATTTTTCTTTGGTGAAGGCTCTCATTGTAAATCGAATTTTATCCACGAGTGAATGGTGCATTAACAAAAAGACATTGTGCTTCAAGAGGCTCGGGAATTTTGACACTGTTCATGTGTTTTTTACGTAATTTATTGTCCTTTCTGGGAAGAAAAAAACCCCGTAACATTATTTCGGATGCACGAAATATGTTTGCAGTCCAGTAGACACATATGGTTATTAACCAACGCATGGAATGGGAAACAATTCCACAACCCGATAATTAAATCAATGTGTGTTACCATCAGGTCAACCTGTCCCAAACCATCATGACCTTACGTTTTCCTTCAGGCCTAGGTGCACCATGCCATGTCAGCGCAAATTGATGGGATGTGAGCCTGTTCAGTGCAATCATTTACAACATCACAGACACGCCGCTTGTTCTTGCATAAGTTCACGGTTCGAAACCCGGCGGCCGCCCTGGTTATTACCACCAGTTTATTAACCGTAACGATACGCGCCGCCTGGTGTGCGGTGGACGTTAACGATCCCGTGATGCCATTCGCGAGAGGGAGGCCGTTACGTAAAACTCTTCCATGGTAACAGGTGGTACTGTTGGTGACTGAACGCTGGCCACGGCAGCTGACAGTGAGTCGAGTGGGCTTGAGAGCTGCAGAACGAGACACCATAAAGCCGAATGTTCCAATCGATATGGAACTTCAGGTGGATTTTAGCGGGACGCGTTCCCTCGCTTTGCGGCTCAGACCTCGGCCTTGCTGCGGTGGTGAGATGTTGCTCCCTCGCCTGGTATGCATGAGGTCGTGGGTTTGATCTCAACCCTGACACCTGCTGCATGTTTGGAGTTTGCGGTGTCTCTCTCCCCGTGCTCGCGTGGATTTTTCCCCAAGTCCTCCGGTTTTTCCGCTCCACATTTAGAATCTTGAGTATTTCACTGCTACTAATTTCCAAGCCACTTCGTTGAGCTGTCATTTGTGGACAGGTCACTTCTGAGAAAGAGCAATATAGCTCAGTGGACCTTACGTGGGAAAAAATGAAAAATGTCGGCACAGTTTATAGTTTTAGATGGTGGACGCACGCGTGCACAGCCAAAATGCTCGCAAATCCTTCCGCCCGCCCCTCTTCCCAGGGTGTTCAAGGTGAAGTGCACGGAGGAGGGCCACTGGGAGGAGGGCGGCTGCGTGCCTGTGCAGTGCCCTCCGCTGCCGCTGGTGCTGCACGGCTCCTACACGTGCACGCACCGGTTCCAGTTCGGCTCCCGCTGCTGGGTCAACTGCAGCACCGGCAATCCCAGCAAGGTCCCACCCACCTCGGACGCACAGACACAAAGATCCCCCCCACCCGCCCCCCCCCCCCCGTGTAGCCTCGACGGAGTTTTTGGGGCTCGTGCTGCTAGCGAGTCGCGCCCATGAAGGTGCCGGCTCGGAAACACGAGGGGATCGGTGGCCAGCACCGCGGCCGGACGCATCTGTATCTCTTGTGGCGATGTTTGCACACCGCACCAGACACTCGTCGCCTGGGGGAGGCCCGGGACCGGTTCAGATAATCATCACTGGCGTTGGCTGTGAGCAGGAATTAAACTCGGGTCGCCGGGTTTGTAGCGCAGCGCAGCGCACACACGCATACACACATTTACAAGTGACACGCACGCACTCACTCTGAATATGCACTTGGTTTTGGGGGCCCTTCGTACGTTCAGTGCCTTCCCTTGACCGTTTTTGCCCCCACCCCTTTGCCGATGCCTTAAGAGTAACGTTTTAAGTGCGGCACGAATTGCATGCTGTGGTATATATGGGTTTGGAAACGTGGAATGCCGGAATAAGAAAATGGAACAATAGTGGACAAGTGCACAGGGAAGCGTCGATAGGTGCGTGCAAAACGCAGGTTGCAACGACGCACCATGATATCAGTGGAGAGCAGCACGTGGGCTTGAGCAGGGCGGGATTCATGACGGAGTGGCAGCCAGGTGAGGGAACCGGGGAGATGGAGCGACTAAAGCAGCTCGTGTGTATGGGTACTAGATGGATTGCGACATTGCAAGGCCTTCATCCAGCATTGAATTTACTGAAGATGATGATGAATGCATATGCATACGTATTCATATCATATTTGGGTATTGCCAAACTCATGATGTTCATTAGATGCCTCGTTGCATTTCTGTTGGCAAAAGCTCATGAGTTGACAAGTGTGTGTGGGCGTGTGTGTGTGTGTACGTTTCTGTTACTGGACCAGCAGGGCCACAAAGTGATCGAGTGCAGAAAGAATGGACGCTGGAGTGGGGAACTGCAGCTGTGCCCGCACGTGCAGGGCGAATGCACCACCCCGGACCCTCCGTTCATCATCGAATTCGACTGCCCTACTGGATATGGAATAGGTAACAGCGTAGCTGGCTTCTACATTTTTTTAAGTATTAATGGGGTTATGGGGTAGTGGTACAGCAGTGGTATACACGCCCTGACTGGATATATGTGAAAAAGAGCTTCATAGCTCATCGGATTCTACCAGTATAAAATTAATATTCTGATTCTGTGTGTGTGTATATAGTTGGAGTGGTACTGGCCACCCCTCAGGCTCTCTGCTCAGAAGAAAGGCCCCATTGGGCCATCGCCCAGACATCTCAGTCTCCTGTACATATTTGTTTTTCCCGTTGTAAGGCAAAGGTAATTACGAAAGTGGGGAGAGTAGTTTTTGAAACTGTTCACCTCGCAATCGCTGTGACTGCCAATCTCAGTACTCTATCCGTTGAGCTCACGAAGCGATCTAATCTTTGGCTGCCACGCAATAGCCCCGAATTTCTACCGCCAGACCGCACTCCGTGACACTTGTAATTTCATGCGGAAAAACATTTAATTTTAGCGGGAGGAGAGCGGTGCAGAGTTACACCACTATTGTAACCCCAGTGTCCAAGTGAGTCAGATACACAAATGCTTAATACGTCTCACGTGAATGTTTTTCGGTGGGGAAACATCGCATCATCACATGGGTGGGTTTGGCCTTGTGTTTTTTTAGTTGAACGAGGGTAGCCAAGGCCATGCCCTGAATAGCTGTCAACGTAGCCTACATTGGGTCAAAGAAGCAGCTTTGAGCTCTGAAAAAGAAAACGCCGCAGTTCAGTTTCTAGACGCTGTACCCTTTATAAGAATATAAGAATAGGTTTTACCCTTTCTGGCAATAATCAGTTGTGTTAAGATGTTAAAACACCAAACAGAAACCTGTTCTCAAGGAATCCCACCTGCATTAACAACATTTCCTTGTGGTGAACATTCAAACAAAAAACATGCGCTAATAATATATGGCATTGTCTTTGATTGGTCCACACCAGAGACAACTTTATTTAATGCCTCGTCTCAAACAGTGTTAGACCAGAGAACGATAAAAGGCGAACAGCACAAAGACAGTGCCACTATTATGGAATCTATAGCTCGGGATGAGCAGCCTCAATGTGGGACCTTTCTTGCCAGTATCAAAATATAAGAATAGGTTTGACCCTTTCTGGCAATAAAACAGTTGTGTTCAGATGTCGAAACACCAAGCGGAGACCTTTTTGTATGCCGTACTCTCGTCTGCACCTTCATCCTAGTGGCAAATAATTCTGCGGGAAGGTAAAACGGTGCAGCCTTTGCCATGTCTTGCTCAAGCCACCGCTGACCGAAGGGGCCTCCTCAAAGTGGAAGCTTTAGCGAGACTCGGTCGAGGGTATGTTGGCCTACCCTTCCACGTCTTGGGAGAGGTGGGAATTACTCGTCCTCTGCCCTGCCGCACGCGACCTGCCGGTCTACAAACTGCGGCGTATCTATGTATACTTCTGGGTGGACGGAGGTGGGTGGGGGTGGGATTTAATGAACTTTCCTCGTTGGTTCAGTTGTTGTGCCGGGAGATGCGACTGGCGACCCATTTGCATTCCAAGTCCAGTTGTGTTTTGTTTCTGTACATTTTTGGAGGAAAATAAAAAGAAATATATACGGGCTGCTCTATACATTTAAAGGCAAGTTTATTAATTGAATTCTACATTTTTATTTGAAATAACAGTGCACCCATCAAGGAAACAGTGCCAAACAGTCTTAACAATGCGGTGCCAAACCGCACTATAATTATCATTATGATTGTTTTCACTAAATAATTATTATTTGAGTGAAAGCAATAATAATTTTTCTGGGAAGAACGTGCTGCCAAACATCAATGCATTTATTATTAAAGTTCTAACAATGATGATTATCTTAGTCGTATCATTGTGCAGCCAAACCACAATATAACATTTATTTGGAAACGATTCGAGTTGAATATTATATGCAGGAACACTTTAGATCAGGGAACAAAGTAGCAACCTCATACTGAGGCCTTACCACATATCTACTCATATGTATGACACGCTGACAGCCTGGTGCGCTGCGTCATTGACTTTCTTCTGCTGGTATTCGTCGCTAATAGACCATGGGCCAGAGCTAAAGTTGGTCACATCTAAGATATCCGAACTTTATAATTATCAGTGCCGATTTATTTATACGACTATTTAAGACTTCATTACTCGATAGCCTCACGCATTTCTAGTGGACATCTGTGTAAAAGAGCTTCTTAGCTCATCGGATTCCTCCATCTGGATTAAAGATTCAGATTTCACATGGCTATCACACGATTCACTGTTTATTGGCCACGTAAAGAAATTGCTACCCGCTAAAGTAGTCCCATCTCAGGTAGTGCCAGCAAGTGAAACATCATCTGGGTCTGGGCTTGTGGACTAAATCTGTATGTGTGTGTGCATGTTGAACTTCTTTCACACCGTACGTAGCCAACTGTGCGAATCGGAGGGTAACAAACAAAAACACAAAAAATCAAGTTCGAAAGAAATGAGTTTTCAATCGAGATTAATAAAAAAATCCAGACTATGAAGAAATGTACCCACATGTGACATTCTTGGCAAATGTTTAGTCGCCAAGATTTTTTTTTACCTGTCACGACTAGAAGGGCAACATCATGACGATTCGAAAGTATATAATGTGCCGAAACGTTTCGTGCCAGGCAGTGACTTGTGCGTCCGCAACGTCGTCATCAAGAAGGTTAAGCACCTTGTCCATGGTTCGAACTTTCCGTGGGGATCACTGTTGGCAGCTGTTTACTAAAATTATCTGGTGACATTTCCAGTGACGTGGAAAGCGCTTTCTGCAACCATGTCATTCCAAGCGGTGCATCAAGGGGGGGGGGGGGGGGTGGCGGGTGGAGGGGAGGTGAGGAGGGGGCAGAAGGAATAGCCCCCCCCCCACCACCCAACCAACCAAATAAATAAATAATAGTTTCATAGACCATTTCATAGACAATTTTTGAGATGTATCACGATTGTAAATTGCATATTAAATTATCCTGGATGTATATTAACATTTAATATGTTTTTCTCTTTCAATCCGGTAATGCGTGTTTTATCCGAAATTAAAACTGACTCATGGGAAGTTATTTCTGACTCAGTACTCTTGGTAGGAAACTAATTTGCCCACTCCCAAAGACAAAGATCCCCCGTATAGCTTTACAAGACTCTTGGGTCAAGTGCTGTTGACGAGCAGCGATGAAGGCTGGCATGGTGTACGAGGGGGTGAGTGGTCAGTACCATGTCCGGCCGTCTTTGTCTCCCCAGTGCTAATGCTTATACACCGCACCAGGTACTCATTTGAGGCTGAGTTGACCTAGGAGTGGCCCATCATCATCACTCATGTTGGCCGTGAGCGGGAATTGAACTCGGGTCGCCGGGTTCGTAGTGCAGTGCGCATAACACTGTGCATCACCACTACCACTGCAACCACTGTCATCCACCGCCACATAACCCTGCTTCCTAAATCAAAAACAGCTCTCATCATTATTAAAAACGTATTGGATTAAAGAAAATCTTAACTTCTTTCATACATATGCATAGGATGCAGCCGTGGTGAAATGGTCAGCACATTGAACTTGCAGTACGAAGATTTGCAGTTCGTTTCGATCTCTTGGCGAGGCAGTTTAAACAATTGTGCAAATTTTGATTTAAAGCTTTCGTCACTGCAGTAATTCATATTCTTAGCTCTTTCGGTAAAGTCACGTTGAAGGGAAACAATAAAATAATAAAATATATTTTATTGTTTTATATATATTTTATTATTTTATTGTTTCCCTTCAACGTGACTTTACCGAAAGAGCTAAGAATATGAATTGTGCAAATGTTTTTTTAAATCCACTCGTCTCTCTCCGCCGAACGTTATGAATAAATATGTGTACAACATTTTAGTCGATCGGCAGGTTGCATGCGGTGGGGTCAAGTGTGGGTACTCCCTTCCTCTTCCCAGACGTCTGGCCAGTGTGGAACAGCAGGCCAATACCTTCTGAAGGGGTCTTCTAGAGCTCTGTCTCGTGGAGGCCCATCCGCCAGCATCGGTGTGAGCTAGCAATTGCAGGGCTGCACCTTTACCTGTCACGTGGAGACGACAGCGAGTGTTTCTATCCCGCGATGGTTTCGCTTCTAGCTCTGTGTGTGTGCGATGGAGCTGGCGTGGGGAGCGACGGTGCAGCGGTCGGCGTCCTGCGGCACAAACCCGGTGGCCCCCCCGAGTTCGATTCCTGCTCACGCGGCAACAGGAGTGATGATCCCCTAGGCGTGCTGCACTTACGAACCTTGTGACCCGAGTTCGATTCCCACTCAAGGCCAACACCAGTGGCGATTTTCTGAACCGGTTCTGGGCCTCTCCGAGGTCGACTCGGCCTCAATTGGGTACCTGGTGCGGTGTGTAAACATCGCCACTGGGGAGACAAAGGCGGCCGGGCGTGGTGCTGGCCACCCCACCCCCTCGTGTGGCGTGTCAGCCTTCAAAGGTGCTCGCTAACAGCACTCGCCCCAACAGTCTTTGAAGGCTATACTGGGGATCTTTGTCTTTGTGGGTGTATATGTGGTGCCGGTGGTGCTGGCCTTCCATGCCAGTGCGGTTTATTCGGTGCCAAATGTTTGAAATCGAGCAGCAGTTTGCGGGAGCGTCGAGGTTGTGGGAGTTTGGTTAGCGAGCACCTCTGCAAGCCCAAGGCAAAATGCCGCATGGCATCTGTCTCGTGACTGGCACTCATCGCTGGCGATCGTTCGGAAGAAGCACTTGCATAGAATTTTTTTTTTATTATTATGATGTGCTCGTCTGCTTAAATCAGTAGACAGATCATACATTGGGGTTTTAATGCATTGTATGTGTAGTGATTTCAACTGAGTCGCAGACGTTGTCTTTGGAGCAACACTATTTATTCAATAAATCAACACAACATAACACAACCTACATTTGGGTGTTGAATGCTCATCTAGCCACGCTACGGCAGAACTAGACACGGTTCGCTATCCTGGCCCGGACCACGAGCTGGGTCCCTGACCCCTTGGCT